GTCTCCAGGGGGAAAGTGTCTGGAAGCCATCTCACCCCCCAGACTGCTGCTCATGCTCAAGCTCTAGGTAAGGAACTCCCTGAAGTGGGACAGGAGGGGGTTGCAGGATTTCTGTTGGCACAGAGGAGTTTCCCTGGTTGTTTTCTGGCTGGAGGAAACACCCCTGTGTTCAGCCAAGGCTGTTGTGCTGCTCCCAGTCCCAATGGAGGTCGGGTCCCAGGCCAGGGAAGGGAAATATTTTGGTTTCTGCTGGGGCTCTCAGGCCCCTCCTGTCCTGCCCCAGCTCTCTGGGGTGGGCACAGGTGATGCCCCACCGTGCTCTGGGAAATAGGGACACCAGCCAGATGATTTGGGGTGTTCCCCTTGGCTTCTGCCCTGCTGCCTGGCTCCCTGGAATCTTTCAGCTTCAGGGAAAGACAGGATTTGGCTTTTTATTCCTCAGGGAACCAAGTGCTTCAGCACAGGTCACCTGGCAAATGCATCCCCACAGCATTTTCTCCTCTGTTTCTGCTTTCACAAGTGAGGGATCGTCTTCCACGAGCTCATCCAGCCCCAAAAGCCTGAGGGAGAGGTGTCCGGAGGGGAAGGGAGAGGAAAATCACCCCGTGGCTATCGGGGTCTCCACACAAAGCGTGGTCTGCAGGGAAATCTGGAGCCTGTGGTGAGACCCTGCAGCTCTCTGGGCGTTTGTTTTTATCCCAGAAATTCCTGCTGAAAATCTCTGCATTTGCTGCCTTCCCAGCTCTTCATTAAAAGCCTGTTGTGGATTACCAGGACACGGTGTGAGTGCTCAGGGGGGCAGGGCTGCTCCCAAGTCCTGCTCAGGTTTTTCTTTTGCCACCAAATCCTTCCCTTTCCAGGCTGTCCCCTGCATCCAGTCTCCTCTGGGGGCCGTGTTCCCCTGCCAGCTGGAGGCTTGGTGGTTTGTTTTGTGGAAAACTGCTGGAAACACCTTCAGTGAGGATCACAAGGGATTCCTTGGAATTCTGCACCATCCCTGGGTGCTGGGATTTGCTGCTGTTCTGAGCACACTTGGCTCAGCAGTCCTGTTCCACCTTTGGGTTTCCTTGTTTGCTGGATCCTTATTTTTTTTTTTTTACCTTAATAGCCCGAGGTGACTTAATCAGGCCTGATTTTTCTCAAAAAGAGGTTTGCATGACTGGAAATTCAGGGAGATGATGATGATCATCCCAGGAAATGCAACTCCCATCCCATGCTCACAGCATGACCCACTCAAGCCTCCTTTCAAAAGCCTTTTTTTTTTACTTTTTTTTTTTTTTTCCTTTTTGGCAAGAGGCTTTACCCAAAGGATCCCCTGGAGCTCCCCTCTTCACAGCTCAGCAGGTTTAATCCATGGCTGGAATTCAGGGGCTTCTGAGCAACAAATGGCACCCTCAGGCTTTGAAAAAACAATTTATTGTAATGAGGGAGGGAGAAGAAGGATGTAAAGGTATGTTTTTCCCAAGGGGTGGCTGATTGCAGGATTTGGGGCGGAAGGACCCTGATGTCCAAGTGAAGAGGGCTCTGCCTGGGGGAGGAATGTGTAATTTTTTTACTGTTTAACAGCCGCACTCGGTGTTGGGATGTTGGGAGTGACGCTGGTTGTGGTTTGCCCTCCCCTCCCTGAGTCACCCAGCCCTGAGTCACCCTCCTGCTCTGCTGGGATCATCTCCAAGGGGTTGGGACCAGCCCGGCCCCAAGGATGGCCGCAGCACCCCTTCAGCAGCCTCTGGGCTCCTGCCCTGCCTTGATGCCCCCCACTGAACATTAATTAAAGCTTCCAGCTCTGTGGCATTGTCCAGCACAAACTGAGTCCCTGAACCACAGAGGGGTGCTTGGATCTGCCCCAGTGAAGCACGGATCATGTCTCCCCCTCCCCTAAAATAATCCAGGCTGGTGGCATTCCTGGGAAGAACTCTTCTCCTTTTGTTCAGGCTGGTTTTTGAGGACAGGCTCAATAAGGCAGGCAGGATCTGGCTGGGGGGATTTGGGATTTGCTCCATGGCTCTCTTTTATCACCCTGAGCAATCAGATCTGGCACAGGAGACCTTTCACGCTTCCTTAAAAAGAAAGGGAATGGATGCTCCCTCCCGTGGAGGGAGAGTCTGTCCTGCCCTTTGTCTCGGACATTTTGGCAACCCCTTTTCCCCAGGTTTCATCCCACTCACTTATAAATAACTCCTGAAAACACCTCTGGAGGTGATAATTAATCTGAGGGCTCTGTGGCTGCTCCAGCTAAAATTGCCTGGGGTTGCTGCTGCCAGCTCCCTGTCAGCCTTGGGCAGTGCCAGGGATCCAAACTGCCGTGGGATGGGATGGGATGGGATGGGATGGGTGGGTTTGGGTGTTTTCTGTCGAATGGGGCTGGTGCTGCTCCTGGCAGGTTGATTTCCCTTGTCCACACTCCTCAGGGAGGTGGGATGCACTCCTCATCTTCTCAAGTTGTGCTTCCATGGTTTCCCACAGTGGGAAATGAGCTCCTGGAAAATCTCCCCAAACTGGAGTGGTGCCTGGGTACCAGCAGCAGTAAGTATTTACTTTTTACAAAGCCACCCAAAAGGTAGATTTTCAAATAAATGAATTAAATTATTAACTGCAAGTCTGAGGGTGAGCATCCAAGTGAGTGTCCAGGGCAAGGGACCCACCTGTGGGTGGAGCCCTGCACAGGTAAGGAAGAGGGAATGTTCCTGTGCCTGTGAATAACCAGGATATTTATTCATAAGGACATACCTCTAAGGGGGAACGGCTTTCAGCTGTCAGAGAATAGGTTGAGATGGAATGTTAGGAAGAAATTCTTCCCTCTGAGGGTGGTGAGGTTGCCCAGGGAAGCTGTGGCTGCCTCTAGAGCCCTGGAAATGTCCAAAGCCAGGCTGGACAGGGCTTGGACATGCTGGTGTGTCCCTGTGGGCCAGAGGTATCCATGGACCCCCACACTGCGGAGCTGGAGGAGCCTGAGATCCACCCAGAGCTCCCATGGCAGTGGGAAAACCTCCCTGTTGCCCTTGGGGACTGGGCTGAGGCTGAGAAACCCTGTGGCTGCAGAAAAATGCCAGCAATTCCTGTCATTTCCCGTGGTCTGGCTGGTGGGAAGCAGGGAGAGATGCTGGCTGCAGGGCTGCCATGTCCCCCAGGACACCCCATCCCAAAACCAGAGAGCTTCAGGGCCACAATTTGCAGCTGGGGTGGGTCTGAGCAGTCCAGAAGGGCTGGGAAGCAGTACTGTCTCTTTCCCAGACTTACCGGATGTTAAATCCAGGGGAAAATAAGACAAACACCCAAAAATGCCCTGGGTGGGAGCAGAAATCACCAGCTCTGGTTGGGGGGAGCTGCTGAGGTGGGAGGTGTTTGTACCCCCGTTCTCCAAGGGCAGTGAGGGCATTTTGGCTGCTGCCTTTTCCCTGAGATTTGAAGGATTTGCTGGGAAAACTCAGGCTGCAGTGCCTGGGCCTCTGAGGAGCTCGGGGAGAAGAGCAGCCCTGCCTCAGTTTCCCCTTTTGGGAAGGGCTCCAGGGTCAGCTCTGGTGCTCTAATCTGGGCTGTGGCTGTGGATTTCTCCATTTCCCAGCAAGGGAAGCTGGGCTGGAGGCTGTGCCCTGCTTTTTGGCTCTGTATGGCCCCCAATTAAGGGGCAATAAGAGGGGACATCATTCCTGATTAACCCTTCCTGGGAAGGTTTGGGGGGCCCGAGCTGCGGTGATGGTCCAGCTCCTTCCCCTGAGCCACTTGTCCCGAGTGCTTTGGCTCCTCACTGGCTCTGGGAATCCTCTCCTGGCAGCAGTGTCCGTATCCCTGGAGCATGGCGTGGGGGATGAACAAGTCCCCGTGGAGTTACAGCCACCCCCTGGGCTGGCCTGCTGGGAAGGGTGGCCCTGTCCCTGCTCCTGCCTCTGGGTGATCCCAGAGTGTCCTCTGCTGGGCACGGGGATGCTTCTCCAGCCCTGGCCCTGCACATTGCTTCTCCATGGGAAAACCAAGAGCAGGATAAAGCAGTGAGGGTGAGGAGAGCAAAGGGAGGGAGAGGATACCTGGATTTTGCTGTTGTTTTTCTTTGGCTGGGTTAAAAATATTTCTGAAATGAAATAAGTCATGGGATGGGCATTTTGAAACTTCCTTTCAGTTTTACTTCCCCTGCACCAGGGGGCTGGAGCTGAAATTGGGATATATTTTTTTTTTTCTCAGTTGTGCTCTTCTGATCTGAAATCAAAGAGTTCTCCCCTTGTCCATGCAGAGAAAGTCACTGGGTTGATCCAGAGCCAGTTTGCAGCAGGGCACTCGGAGAACTCCTTCTCAAGGACATTTTGAAGTGGGTTTTTTTTGGCATTGGACGCTGCTGGGAGCCAGAGATGCTCAGAGAGGACTGGAGCCACCGTGGCTGTGCTGTGACAGCCCTGACAGGTCTGCAGGGTCTCCTTTCCAGCTGTCACCAGAGCCACGGGGACAGCCTGAGCTGTCACCTCAGGAGCGTGTGGAGCTGCATTTTCCAAGCAGCTCAGCCCTCACTCACCATGGGGAGTCTGCACGCCCCAAAGAAAAGTCTCCTTCTGTTTGTGGTGGGCAGGAGGAGGGGAAGAAAAGTGCTGGGCAGGCTGTGGGCAGGGTGGGTGTCCAGGAGATTTGGGCACCGCAGTGGGGACAGGCCGAGGACAGAGACTGCCTTGGACTTCACACATCCTCCTCTGAAATCCCTGCTTTTCCAAAGTGCCAGAGAAAAGAGCAGCAGCAGGTACTCAGCAAGACACCTGTGCTGCCCTGATGTACTGGGATCCCCCAGCTCAGAGCCTGGAATATTCACCTGGGAGCTGTGGCAGCCTCAGGATGTCACCTCCCAGCAAGGACCACATCACCAGGCAGCAGGGACAGGAATGCTGAGAAAGGGGTTTGTGTATCAAGGTGGCTTTCACACCATGGGGGATTCAATCCGTCCCTTCTCCAGCTCTTTTTCCATGAACAAACAAGCATCCCTCCCATAACTCTCAAGGCAGAAAACACAGAAGGCTTTCTTTTTAGTATTCAGGGTTTATTTATAGGGCTGGGGTTTGGGTCTTTCCCTGAGCATCACTTACAAAGAGCAAATCAGTTGTGGGGGTTTATAAGTGATGCTTACAAAGATCTCCTCACCAGCAGGTGAGCTCCAGCTACAGCACATCTGCCTGATGGGCAATTTGGGGGAAACACCAGGGATTTTCCAGCAGCTTGGTTCTGTTCAGGGTCTTGTAAACCCACGAAGATGTGCATCGAGCTCGGTTTGCATGACCAGGAGCTGTGAGTGTACATTTGCCTCTCCTACAACTGCAGCCACACAGAGATTTCAAACAAAAATCTGGCCAGATGGTTCTCCTCCAAAATCCCTACCTGTCTCTGCTGCAGGTGGAGGTTAAAAGATTTCACTGAGTCCTCTGCACACTGACAGGTGGAAGCCAGGGGCTGGGGATTTCACACTCAGACCTTCCCAAGTGACTGCAGCACTCCTACACAAGGCATTTTTAACAACCCATTCTTAATTAAAAGGCCAAAATTAGATCAGGGGAACAATCCTTCTCGTGCTGCTATTTCAAAGGAACCCTATCATTCCTTGGCTGAAAATCACAGTGTTTTATTCATTGCAGTGAAATTCAAGCTGTTCCCTGACCCCTCTGCTGGGTCTGGAGCGGGAGCTTGGTCACCTACCACTGTTCCCAGGTGCTAGTGGGACTTGGCTTTGGTGGCCTTCCCTGTCCTGCCCTTCTTGCAGAAGCACCGGCGGCAGCAGCAGAGGCAGCACTTGAAGGAGATGAAGAGGACGAGGAGGGTGACGGCCGCCAGGAAGGCAATGACATCCAGCGAGTGGTACTGCACCCAGTTGAGGTCGTGGGCGGCAGGGCGCAGGTGAGGGGCCCCCTTGTGCCTCATCACAAACTCCACCCAGTGCACAGCCAGGTCCAGAGGGTGGATGGGTCTGTCCAGGTGCAGGTCGGAGAGGCGCTGGATGTTCTCCTTGTACCTGCCAAGAGAACGTGGAATCCTTTGAACCCCTCAGGGCAATCCCAAGGGCCTTGCCTTGGAAGAATATACCAGAGTCTCCACCTAGGCTGAAAGAGAAAACTTCCCCACGGAGTCTTGCAACACTATGATCCACTCCAGTTCCATTCCCTATGTGTCCCAAAGTCTCCTGGTTTTCCTTTCCCTGTTTCCTCACTGATTGTGGTACCCCTGGTGGCCAGCCCTGTCTTCCCTGTAGGCCAGTGCCCTCAAACCATTGGCCACTGACCCCACATACTTAACCTTGTGCAGAGCACATGGACAGGTCTTTTGTCCCTGATTTCCCCTTCATCAAGCAGAAATAAGCCATGCTGGAACTGACCATATCAAAGGCCCTTCTGCCTCTCTTGGCTGACCTAGCCCTGGTGAGTGTGGCGTGTGTGGACCTGACTGCCTTGCCTGAATGCTTTCCCAAGAGACTTTTCCACAGGAGATGTGTCACTGCTGAGCCAGAAATTACACAAATTCACTCAAAGTCTGGTTTGCAGGAGAAGGCTGAACAATTGCTTTATTAAAACTATACTATATTACATTAATACTATATTAAAACTATACTAAAGAGATACTGTACTACAGAAAAACCCATGACTGTCTGAGACAGCCAGGACACAGCTTTTAGTGATTGGCCAATCACTCAAAACAACTTTCACCAGTGTCCAATTAACCAAATCATTTTCAGTAAACAATATCCATAACACATTCCACATGTGCAAAGACAGGAGCAGTGAACAGAGACAAGAATTGTTTTCTTCTCTGAGGTTTCTCACTGCCTTCCCTAGGAACAATCCTGGGAGAGAGAATTATGTCTCTCTCTGTTCAGAGAATGTGAATACCACAGAGATGCTTACTGGAAAATAGGTAGCAGCAACCACCATCTAAACCCCACACTGCTACAAGAGAAGGCGTTGCTCAAAAATGGAGTTGATGCCTTAGGATTTCAGCTTTTATGTTTTTTAAATCCTGTACTGCTTTAGGGTGGAACTCGAAAACTCCATAGCCTGTCAGCTGCTGTTCTCCCATTTTATTCAGGCAAAACAATTCCTCTGGGCCTGAAACTCAGGGACACCCTACAGCCTCAGGCCCTGAAAAATGTAAACAACAGTGAACTGGAGGGGGATGAACTGGGGATATGTGACCCCATTACCTGAAGCTGTAATTGGGATATTAACCCCTAATATGTAAATAGACCAAACTTATAATTGTCTGAAAAACTCTTGACCATCATCTATCTTGGGTGTAGCCTGTGGGAGGCTTCTGACTGCCCAAGGTGTATCCACTGAAGGCCTTTAGTAAATACCCACTTTATTCTCTTAACCTTGTCTAGCCTCTGTTCTAGGGAGCCACTCCAAGGCATCAGTTTTCTGGCACCCCAGATGGGATGCCAGAAAAAACTTCTGGAAAACCCTTGGACCAGGGAAAAGTTTTTTTAAATACCCACTCAATTATCTTAATATTTTCTCATCTCTGTTCTAGGTAGCCACTCCAAGGCATCAGTATCACAAGGTGGGGTGGGTTGGAAGGACCATGAAGCTCATCCTTCATGGGCAGGGACACCTTCCACCAGGCCAGGTTGCTCCAATTCCCATCCAGGAGACTTCCAGGGATGGAGCAGTCACAGCTTCCCTGGGCTCTTGAGCTACTGAGCCCCTTGAGAAGGGCAACAGCAAAGTTACAGGCCCGGGAAAACCCTTGGACCCGGGAAAAATCAAGCTTTTTTAAATACCCACTCAATTATCTTAATATTTTCTCATCTCTGTTCTAGGTAGCCACTCCAAGGCGTCAGTATCACAAGGTGGGGTGGGTTGGAAGGACCATGAAGCTCATCCCTCATCGGCAGGGACACCTTCCACCAGGCCAGGTTGCTCCAATCCCCATCCAGGAGACTTCCAGGGATGGAGCAGTCACAGCTTCCCTGGGCTCTTGAGCTACTGAGCCCCTTGAGAAGGGCAACAGCAAAGTTACAGGCCCACTCCAAGGCATCAGTTTTCTGGCACCCCAGATGGGATGCCAGAAAAAACTTCTGGAAAACCCTTGGACCCGGGAAAAATCCAGCTTTTTTAAATACCCACTCAATTATCTTAATATTTTCTCATCTCTGTTCTAGGTAGCCACTCCAAGGCGTCAGTATCACAAGGTGGGGTGGGTTGGAAGGACCATGAAGCTCATCCCTCATCGGCAGGGACACCTTCCACCAGGCCAGGTTGCTCCAATTCCCATCCAGGAGACTTCCAGGGATGGAGCAGTCACAGCTTCCCTGGGCTCTTGAGCTACTGAGCCCCTTGAGAAGGGCAACAGCAAAGTTACAGGCCCGGGAAGTGTTGTTTCCAATGACCAAAAGAAAAAAAAAAAAAAGAAGGAAAGCTTAGTTTGAGCTCTCAGGAGAATCTCTGGGGTGGGTGAAGGTTTCTGGCTGAAAGGGGAGACTGGGGGTGGAAAAGCTAGCCAGCTTTTCCAGCTGCATTATTATTGTTTTTGTTAGTAGTAGTGTTATTGCTATTATTGCTATAAAAACAATAATAATGCAGCTGGAAAAGCTAGCCAGCTTTTCCAGCTGCATTATTATTATTGTTTTTGTTAGTAGCAGTGTTATTGCTATTATTGCCATAAAAATTGGGTAGGGAACAATGTCAATAAGCTGTTTTTTCTCAGGAATGTGGTGGGGTTTCTTAGTCCTTGGCATCCTTGAACGGGAGCAGGGAAGAGCTCTTTGGAAAGAAATCTCTATGCTGCCTTTAAACCCCTTGGGTGTGCTGACTGCAGCCCTGTGATGTTCCCTGGGCTTCCTCAGTGCATCCCTGCAGGTTCCTCCTGCTCTGTGCTGGGATTGTCCAGCCTTGCTGAGCCAGACAAGGCTCTCTGTGCTCACAGAATTCCTCATTTCCTCATAAGCACTGAGGGTGGGGGGGGGAATGCCTGAGAAAACTCACCTGTAAGATAAATCAGTGATAAATATGTTTGATAAACCCTTTTCAGGCTCCCCACTGACCTGAGTCACCACAGGTTTGGGAACAAAAGCTGTTTGCCACTTGTATCAAAGCCTCTGTCACTGCCTTGGCTTTAAGAAGGTGACACAATTTTTTTGGCAACTTGACTTCTTCCATTGCATTCCCAGCCCACCTCCCCTACTCCCTTCTCAGCCACTTCTTGTCCCCTAAAGGGGACAGCCTGAAGTTAACACAGGGTGAGCATCAGCTTCTCCATGGAAGCAGCTGCTATCAAATCCAAACTTTTGATCAAAGAAGCCATTTGAGAAGAGAAAAAGACCCTGTTGATCTGGAAGTGAACGTGCTGGGGCCACACAGTAAGGAGGGGGAAGGGTGTGCACTGGTACTGACCTTTTGTCGTTGATCACTGCCTTCAGGGCGTTGGAGATATCGTTGGAAGTCATCTCCAGGATGTTGAGGGTCAGCCCTGCTCCCCGGGACTCCACTCGCTTGGCATTGTCCATCTGGTCCCCAAAGAGAGGCATCAGCACCATGGGCACTGCATTGCAGATTCCCTCATAAACACCGTGGGAGCCTCCGTGGGTGATGAAGGCGCGAGTCTTGGGGTGGGCTGTGGAGGGAAACGCAGGCTTGTGTTAGCTCCTGGAATTACTGACTCCCAGCAAAACGTCCTTGGGGAAAAAACATCCACCAAAAAGGGCTGTGGCTGGGACAAATCAAGGATTTGGGGAAGTTGTGAGCATCATCCCTCATGGCCAGACTTAGGGATTGGAACTTTGTAGACCTCTGTCTCGGTTTTGGGTAATCCTCCAACTTTAGGATTAAACCAGAGCCAGGAGAGGTTAAAAAGGATGTTGCCACCGATTCATTTTTCACCATCTCTCCCATGGTAGTGAAGGTCTCTCACAGCTGAACCTGTTACTAGCAAATCCTGGCAACAATTCCACCACTTTAAAAGCCCAAAGACCGGTCTGGAAGCGCTCCCTTGAGGACCATGAAGTTTCTCTTCAGGCCAAAAGATGGGACAAAAGCACAGCTGGTTGTTGAGACTGCTCAGTCAGACATAAAGACTCATCTTTGACTGATACTGGAGTGTTGGAAAACCTTTTCAGAGCTGTTTCATAATTCAGCAATTCCCAGCTAAGTTCCTAAAGGACAAGCTCTGGCTCCAACAGGTTTACTGGCTCAGGGGATGGTAACTCACACCTGACCCACAGATGATGCCCTTCTGGGGCAGCAGCACCGGCCTGGTGTCAGCCCAGGGGTGTCAGACCTACCCAGGAGGTCATTCTGAGGCAGCCACTTGACGAGCTTCACGTTCTTGGGCAGGTTGGGGGGTGCCTTGCCTGTGTAGCGCCAGAAGACCTGGCAAGGGAAGCAAAGCCCACGTCAGATCCCAGCAGGAAAAGGGAGGGAGGGCCTGAGACCAGCGTGGAGCTGCTCTGCTGGAAGGGGAAGAGGGGATTGGTACCGTCTGAGGGACTGTTCCCAAGCCCTCTGCGATTTCCATGGCTTTCTTCATAGGAATCTCGGACACCATGGAGCCCAGCGAGAAAACAACGATGCCGTGTTCTCCAGAGGCGTTCACCATGGCTTCAAATTCCTGCCAGAGGAAAGCAAGCCTTTAGTCAAAGCCCTTTCTCTTGTCAGAGGCTGGAGTTGCTGCCGTGTTCCCACAAAACTCTCTGGAAAGGCAACAGAACAAGCAGTGAGCACAACAAAATTGTTACCAGGAAAACGAGTTGTTACTGAGAGTTCTGCATCCAAAGCAGCACAGCCAGCAGGCCCAGGGACAGGATTGTCCCCCTCTCACACCTGGATCCTGCATCCAGCTCTGGGATCATCAACATGTGAAGCACATGGGACTGTGGGAGCAAGTCCAGAGGAGAACCATGGAGCTGACAAGGAGACAGGAGCGCCTCCCTCATGGGGACAGGCTGGGACATCCTGTTCAGCTGGAGCAGACAAGATTTTTGTGTGGAGACCTCAGAGCCCCTTTCCTGTGAAGAGGCCCAGAAGGAAGCTGGAGAAGGACTCTTCATGAAGAATTGGAGTGGTGGGACAGGGAGGAAAGCGTTCAAACCAAAAGAGGGGGAATTTGTGTTAGGCATCAGGAAGAAATTCTTCTCTCTGAGGGTGGGGAGGCCTCACAGGCCCCTGGCACAGGGTGCCCAGAGCAGCTGTGGCTGCCCCTGGATCCCTGGAAGTGTCCAAGGGGAGGATGGATGGGGTTTGGAGCAGCTGGGATAGTGGAAGGTGTCCCTGCCCACAGCAGGGGATTGGACTGGATGGGCTTTAATGTCCCTTTCACCCCAACCTGGCCTATGATCCTAAAGAAAATAAGTCTTTGGAAAGTAAAAATGGGCATATTTAACCCGAACCTGGATTCAGAACTGATGTTCTTCTTTCCAGACCAAGCAGCTACAAGAGAGAATTAAAATCCTGGAAGAGGGTTCTGACAGCAGGTAACTCAAATTTCTAATATCTGGATTTATTGTATCTGCTTTGGGTGTGATAACACTGAACTGCAGCCAGTTTTGTCTCTCTTTTGTTTGAGTGATTTAAATAATAAAAGGAGATCTAGCACTGGAATCCAGGAACAAAAAGATTCCAATGAAGCAGAAAAAAACAGCCCAAGGCTGGAGCAAAAATTCTTTGAAACAGAAAAATGTTTGGTTGAGCCGAGGAAGGAAAGGCAAAACTGGAGGAAATTATTGCAGGCATCAGAGTTAAATAAGGGGAAAACAATGAAATGTTTCTGTAATTCTGGCAATTACCATGTTATCTGTGGGATCTGAGGGGATAACCAGAGAACCATGGAATGCTTTGGGTTGGAAGGGACTTTAAAGATTGTCTCATTCCAACTCCCTGCCATGGGCAGGGACAACAGAGACTGACTCTGTCAGTTTACTCTCTTTTCCATATTTTTGTGGCTGTCTCAAGGCATATTTAATCATATTTACATTCAGTGGGACATCAGTTTTATTTTGATTTTTAGATGTCTTTGTGTACCAAGGTCTGACTTTCTGCTCAGAAGTTTTCCTACTATGAGGAAACTCTTTGAAGACCTGCTTTGGGGATATGCAGGTTATTTCAGTAGTGGTTTTAATCAGCACCTGCTCATACTTTTACAAAATATCTGCAGTGGAGACTCATGCAAAAAATAAGAGAATTAGGAGGATTTCCTAACTGGAAAGTGGAAGATATCCCATACTGAGAAATTTTGGCACAGTTGAAGCAAAATACAGTTGCAGTGCAGAGTATTTTACACAAAAGTGGCAGAAGTGCTGCTTCACTGGTTGTGGGGTTTTAATTCAAGCCTGTTTGAAGTTCATGGAACATCCTCAACTGGAAGGGACCCACAGGGATCATTGATCCAACCCCTGGCCCTGCACAGACACCCCAACAATCCCACCCTGTGCATCCCTGAGAGCATTGTTCAAATGTTCCTTGGGCTCTGGCAGCCTGGGGCTGTGCCCTTTCCCTGGGGAGCCTGGGCAGTGCCCAGCACCCTCTGGGGGAAGAACCTTTTCCTAAAATCCAACCTAAACCAACACAGCTCCAGCCACTCCCTTGGGTGCTGTCCCTGGCTGCAGAGAGCAGAGATGGGAGCTGTCCCTCCACTGTCCCTCTTAAGGAAGCTGTAGACAGGAAAAAGGAAAAGGGAATGGAAATAGGCAGGAAAAATGGAAAAGGGAAAAAAAAAGAAAAAGAAAAAAACTGCCTTTTTTTCCCCCCCTTTTTTGTGCAGGTTTGACTGGGAATGCAGATGTGTCCCACAAAGTAACTTTCCCCTCATTGTTGAAGGGATGCAGCGGTGCAAAATGCACTCCCAGCCACTTTCATTCCAGACTGGGAGCTCCATCTCCTGGAAAGAGCTCACAGCGCACCCACAGCTAAACTCTGGGAAAAAAACGGGAACTAACCTGGGATAATTTGTTTTCCCGAGTGCAGCCTATGCCTCCGACCAAGACCATGTTGGGCATGAGGGGCCTGGGGTACTCAAAGACAAAGTCGTATTTCATGAGCCAAACAGCGGCGTGGCTGAACAGCTCGGGCACGGTCGCCTCCCGCTGCAGGAACTCCCGGATCAAGGGATCATAGGGAGAATAAAGGACAGAGCAGGCCAGGGAGCTGCCCAGGGTGGCCAGGAGGTTGCCCAGGCGCTGCCAGAAGGACATGCGGTCCGTGGAGCGTGTGAAGAACCGCGGGATGTAGGAAGGAGGGCTGGGACACATGGTGGCCTGGAATTCCAGACTGCACGGCAGCCCCCGCAGGAAGTACACAGAGGGCAGGGACAGATGTTCTGCCAGAATCTGCCCACATGGGAAGAAGGGATCCATAAAGATGGCATCAAATTTGCTTCCCTCAAGGTATTGGATCAGCTCTTTGTCGGACAGGAGACGCTTGCAGGAGTCCAAGAACATGCTTGTAAAATTGGCAATTTTGGAGAGTTTTTCCAAAAAGGGTTGAGGTGTGAAACTCCTGTGGCCCATCTTTTTAAACTCTGCCTCCACAAACTCCTTAGTGTAGGACACAGGGTAGGTTTTCAAGGTATAAATCGGGGATGAATGGATCCGCAAATTTATCTCCGGCGCAACCACCACGATTTCGTGTCCCTTGTCCCTGAGCTTCTCTACGACCGGGAGTGTGCTGAGCCAGTGGCTGCCATCGATGGGTATGACCAAGAGCTTCCCACCTTCACCAGAGGTCCACAGCAGCAGGAAAAACACAGCCCAAGAGGCAAGAGAAAGAAATCCTGGCTTTGGAGAAACCATTTCCCTGGTGCTGCTAGCGAAGTTATAAACAGCGGTGAAACTGCGGCTGGGGATGAAGAATGAATCATGGGTACTTCCCACTTGGATTTTAACTAAAGTGGGTTTTTAATTTTTAACAGGCAGAATTGGGGTAATTTTTAACTGTGGGTAAATATTGGGTTCATCATCTGTGCACAGGGAAGGCTTTCAGTGAGTGGGTGCCTTGAGGTGAAGCTGAATGTTTGGACTGACACCAGGAGGGAGGAGTGACCAACAGCCTGTGATGAGAGCCATGAATGGGGCTGACCCAGCAATCACTACATCATTAACATCCCGTTAATGATCAACCCACTACCTTGAGTCCACTGCACTGATTGGATATGGAACTCGGCACAAATCTGACCTTTGGATCGCTTTGTGCCCCCAGAGTGTAACCAAGAAGCTAAGATTGACAGAGGTTTGATCGAGTGGGTTGTAAAGGTTTATGTCCAGATTTGTTGCTCTATCACAGCAGTTATCAAAATGAAAGCCCTGAATTTACAGTAGTAAATGTGTTGTAAGCAGAGCAGTAACTCCTGCTGTCACAACATCACAATGTCTGAAAGCAGAATGACCTGGGGATATCTGCACTATTTGCACAGCATGAGGGGAATCTAAATAAGGGACAGTAGTTACAATCCTGAAGGCTTCCTTTCCCAACCATCCTCTTATTTGCTATCTTGCACAAATCCAGAGGCAACAGAGCTCCCTCTGCTGTCTTTGTTTTGGGCTGTTGGTGCACATGGAATCATGGAATATCCTCTGTTAGAAGTTCCTGACCCACAGGGATCATTGATCCAAGCCCTGGCCCTGCACAGACACCACAACAGTCCCAGCTTGGGCATCCCTGGGAGCATTGTTCAAACCCTCCCAGAGCTCTGGCAGCCTTGGGAATGTGCCCATTCCCTGGGGAGCCTGGGCAGTGCCCAGCACTCTCTGGGAGAAGAACCTTTTCCTAAAACCCAGCCTGATCCCCTCTCCTGATGTTCTGAGCTTCACCCAGCTTCATGTTCAGTGGCACAGCAAAAGTGCCTGGGTATATCCACAGAGTTAATTCTATACTTCCAATTTTTGTCCAATCAAGTATCCTACAATTAACTGGCATTCCACATTCCTTATGGATATTAAATCCTGTGACCTAGAATTATTTTGTCATTTGCCTGGACATAGAGCACACCACGAGTGATGGTGACAACTTGACCTAAGCTCACCTGGAGACAAACCCTTCAGCAAGCCTTGTGATCATCTCAAAGCCTGAGATTCCCACTCCCATGCCATCCTGGGATTTGATTGCACCCTACCTCAAGCACACAAATATCAGTACAGGAAACACTTAAAGAAAGCACATCTTGAATAAGCACCAACACCACCCTCGGGGGTAAGCAACGACAAACCTTTGAGAGTGGCTTCTTCTGCAGGCAGTTGATGCCTCCAATATAGACCATGTTGGGCATGACGGGGCGCGGGTACTCAAAAACAAAGTCGTATCTCATCAGCAAAACTGATGCTTGGCTGAACAGCTCCTGTATCGTTACATCCCTCTGCAGGAACTCTGAGGCCAAGCCCTCGTATTTCAAATAAAACAGGTGGCAAAGCAAAGGCTCTGAGAGCCCGATCAGGAAGTTTTTCACACGCTCAGGGAATGTCATGCGGTCGGAAAGAGATGATAAAGTCTTGGGCACATAGGATACGGGGCTGGGAGACTGCGCGCCTTTGTAGTCTAAGGTACAAGGAAGGCCTCGCATGAAGTACACAGAGGGCAGGGAGAGATACTCAGCCAGAATTGGCCCACAGGGCAGCACAGGGTCCATCATGATGGCATCGAATTTGCTGTCCTGGAGGTACTTCATGAGTTCTTTGTCAGATAAGAGGTGCCGACAAGCAGAAGTGAACATGTTGGTCAGCTCCGTGATGTTGCTGAGTAAAAATGAGAGCTTTAGGGTCTCAAAGCTGTCTTTCCCCAGCTTCTGGTAGTATTGGTCCACAAACTCCTGGGTGTAAGGCACTGAATATGTTTTGATGGTGAAGGACTGGGGGCTTTTCAAGAGCAAGGCAGCATCAGGAACCATGGCCACGATTTCGTGCCCCTTCTCCCAGAGTTTCTCCAGGACCATTCGCATGCTCAGCCAGTGACTTCCATCCTGAGGCACCACCAAGAGCTTCCCACCATCTGCCAGACTCCAGAAAGCAAGGAAAAGCACAAGCCCAGTATGTACCTGGTGCCTCCACATAATTCTCATGGGGCAGGAAAAGAAACTAGCTGCTCCTCCTTATGTTGTTCAGCAGCATATGAAGAAAAATCTCCTTGTACCTCATTTATATTGTGGTGGACTTCAATGTTTTATCTCTACAAAATGATTACTGATACAAGTTATTGGAGTTCAAAGACCATATTGCTGATAAAAGCCTTGATTAAAGTGCTATCAAGGCACCCATGCTTTGCTATTCATTTAGGTTATCTCAGATTATTCAGAATAATCAGTAGAAAAAGCAGTTGTTCATGGAGGAGTTTTGCTGGACAGGGTTGTTTCAAGTGACTCACTGTGCACTCAACTGTCCCAGGCCAGATTCAAGTCAGTAATCAAATTTATGGCCATTCCACAGAGCTTATATCACAAGAATTGTGTTGCACTTTCGGCAAGCAAGGCCTAACTCCCCAATCTTTTCTTAGAAAGATGGCTGGAGTTCAGAGAATGTCCTCTATGGCAAGCAGGAGCAGTGGAGTCACCAAAGTTTGGGTAACACATTAACCAACTACCTTTCACCTTTTTAGCAAAGCAGTGGTAGAGCAGAAAGCACAGTTTGTGCTCAAGAGGTGCCATCAGAGTTCATAGGTGAATGGCTCAAGGCTAAACATCTTTTTGAAAAGCAATGATGCAGCAGAATATGAGGCTCTTGCTCAAGAGGGGCCACGGGAGCTCGGGGTGAGAGGCTACGGGGCGAATGGGTTTGAAAGTTCTTAATAACAATCCCTTTCCCAGATTTCAGAAGACTTGGCATTAAGGCATATTGCACATGGGCAGGGAAAAGGTGGATGCCAAAAGTTTGCAAGTTTACAAAAGCAATACAAGATATGGGAATGGTACCTGGACAAGAGGTGACTGGAGAAGACAGATTCTTTTAGACCCCCAACCAAGCACTCCTGAACAGAGTGAACTCTGAGCAGTCTCTCCAGGCCTGGAAGGGTTCTCTTGGAGCAGGTAGGAATGATGGGAAATCTGATCCATGAAATAGCTACCTTTGCCAAAGGTACCTGAGTGTGATAAATATGCTCCAAAGTTAATCCTAAGTGTTATTCCAAGATTAAGACTAAGTGTGTCCTAAAATGTTTATTTGGCGAGGAGGTCCTTCGTGTGGCCTATTAAAGAAAAGGGGTTCATAAAAGCCAGCAAGAAGAACTGTAATGTTTATGGAAAATGCACTAAATAGGAAGAAATTTCAGACATCAGTGCGGAGGTTTAGATTGGATATTAGGAAAAATTTCTTCATGGCAAGGGCTGTCCAGGGCAGTGGTGAAATCACCATCCCTGGAAAAGTTCAAAAAACGTGTGGATGGGGCACTTGGGGCCACGGTTTAGTGGTAGACCTGGCAGTGCTGGATTAATGGTTGGACTCTGATTTTACAGGGCTTTTCCAACTGTAACAGTTCCATTATTTGATGCAGTCCCAGTCTGCATTTGGTGAAGCAGAACATGGCTCTAGCTGGCAGTGGGGTAGCATTGAAAGACTAAAAACTACAGGAGGTGGAGGGAAGGGATTCTCACCTGCCAGGGCTACATTTCCACATTTCTCTGGTAAAAAGATCTCAAATAATGAGGGGATGCAGCATTCAACAAGCCTTAAGGTGGCAGTACATACTCAGGTAGTGAACTCAGAGTTGCAGAAACACTCTTACCCTGCATAAAGGCCTCTTAAATCCTCATATTTGGTACATAATCAGTCCAACCTAGTTAAGTTCTGCTAACATTTCAGCCAAACTTGTATCATCTGTGAGACACTAAAAAAACCCCCTATAAAACAACACTGAAGAGGTAAGAAAACCCCCTCAAGCCAAACCCTTGAGGCCAAGCTCAGAAAAGTTTGAAAAAAAAAAGTTCAATAAAGTTCAGCAAAAGTTCATAGAAGTTGTGACACTGGATTTTGAGCAGCACATGAACACCCTCCACGTGTTTACGAGTGCAGAGACTGAAGTCCACAAGTCCAGCCCATTCCAAAGGTGAGATAGCAGGAGAAAGTAATGCAAAAGTACAGAACTGAGTGCCAAGGTTGTAAGCTGGAAACAGTACAGCAAATATCTGAGCTAAGGGAATCCATGATTATCTCTCCTGTAAGCCTACAAATCCTGGCAGGCAGCCTGTACCTCTTATTAACCCCCTAAATCCCTTTTAAATTCAGAGGTTTTGTCTACAAAAAAGAAAATCTGTGCCTCTTGAGAGGCTGATCTGGGGTTTTTTGGGCCATGGTGTGAAAAAATACTCCCCTTTGTTTGCTCTAAGCTTGCTACGTCTCAGTGTTAGTCATAGGACAAATATTGGGAGAAACTATCAGTTCCCCTTGCACCTTTAGTTATGATTTTCCAGATTTTACAGACCTCTGCCATAATTTTTTTCATAGGTTTAGTTGTGAACTTTATTCCCTCTCTGCTTTCCTAGTCTGAGTGCCAAGTTTGAATAGTCTTAAAAATCCCTCCATTTTTACTGTGTGAGATTGGGCTTTTTCTGAAATATCAGACTTATTTCAGCATTTTGTAAAGCAAATATCTGAAAAACCTGATAGGAATAGTTATTATTAAAAATAGAATCCATGAGGATACTCTGCAAACCACAAAATCTATTTGAAAACAAATTAAAAAAAGTCTGACATTAATTAATTTCAGAAGAATAAAGTAACTTATACTTTGTTTTTTCGATGCTGGATATAAATTTAACTAAGGAGCATCACTGGCCTGGAATATACAAGATGGAAAAATGGGCCTATAAAAGCCTCATTAAGGTCAGCAAATGCAGATGCAAAGTTCTGCCTCCGGAATGGGATAATTCCATGCCACAGGACAGGTGCACTACAGCTTGAATGCAGGAGATGACAAAAAGTTAAAGGTGAGTTTACAGTGACAGGACAAGAGGCAACAATCACTGCAACATGGAAAATTCAGATTTCATACAGGAATCAATTGGATATAATAAGGTGTGCTCACTAGAGGATATACTTAGACTGGGACGAGAGAGAGAAAGGAACAATCTGACCTGGATATATTATGACAAGAGGTTCTCAGAGAGCCCACTGATGACCTTCCAGATGACAATGTTTCCTGAATTTATGACAACCCAAAGCACAGAGAATCCTTCTTTAAGGGAAAAAAACCCCAAAAAACCACAAAAAGGAGGATAGGGTCTGTGAGGACGGCATCAAACTTGCTCTCCTCAAGGTACCTGATGAGCTCCTTGTTGTGAATTAAGTGTGTGCAGGTGGCCAGGAACAGAGCAGAGGTCTTCTTTGCCTGTTGGTACTGTCTAATAACTCTTTCCAGAAAAGGTCCTCCTTTAAATAAATCCATTACTGATCCTTTGAAAACTTTATCCATCTCTTCCCGAGTGAAAGGCACTGGGTACATTTTCATCTCAAAGGTCTTGGATGGTTTGATCTGCAGGGAGACTTCAGGTGCCACCACAACCACCTCGTGTCCCTTCTGCTGGAGCATGTCCACCACTTCCCGCATGCTCAGCCAGTGGCTCCCATCCACTGGCACCACCAGGAGCTTCCCAGCAGCAGCCAGACCCAGCAGGGAGAGGAGCAGAAGCACAGCTGGTGGAGAAGCACTGAGCCCCATGGCCATTCCTGCAGGGATCAGCTGAGTGCTTCCAGGGAAGGAAACCCGCGGCAGCGCAGGAGCTCCAGCGCTTGCTCTGCGCTTCCAATCAATCTGTGCTGCAGCCCAACTTTGTATCCTTGCTTTATCTGCTGTGTGGTAAATGTGTAATCACCGGTGTGATAACAGGCTGAATAACCAGCAGCAAAGTTCAGGCAGCTAATAAATGTGAGGGATGCACCAGATAAGCCTCATGTTTTAATACAAAACCTTTGGCACTTTTGTCACCTTTGAGCGCCACCTGCAAAGCCCCTTGAGACCTCTGAAATTGGCTGCTACACCTCACACAGCCATCATCACCAAGCCAAAGTTTTCCTAGATCTGCCTGCAAACAGAGGGCCTGCTTCCCACCCACCCATGGTGTCCAGCAGTGGTGGAGTTGTGTGAATGCTCATGTGGCCGTTCCCAGTGTGTACAGGGATGTCTGTCACATGTCCCAGCCTCCCCACCTCCTTGGGGATGGGTGGAATAGCCACAGCAGCTTTGGGATCCCACCCTACACCACACAAATCCTAAGGAATATGAATGAAGAGAAAGCCAGGGCACCAAAAGCACTCACCCAACTTCTCAGGCTCACCCCTGGAGCAGCCGAGGAGGCTCTCCAGCAGGCACTGTGCCCAGGGCTCTTGTCAGCATCCCAGGGAACCCAAGCACATGGCATATTTGACTGGTTGGTATCATGGGCAAGACTGCTACTAATCCCTCAGTGTCAGTCAAGCCTTGCTGGATGTGTCAAATCAGACCTGCTCCAGGCATCAGAGCTTGGCTTTGGAGATAGAAAAATGCTTTTAAGTTTCTCTGGGAGATCCCATTGGAAATGCTCATTGTACAAATCCAAAACTTTGTTATACTATCCACAAATACTCAGAATCCCTTTGGCTGGCAGAATCAACATCCCATCACAAATCCTTAGTACAGGTTCACTAGAAGACCCTGGTGTTTACCTACAACTGAGCACAAATTAAAAGCCAGAAGAAACAGCTGCCGACACAGGATGTGGAAAGTCAGCAAGAAAGTGAGAGAAAAACAGCTCCTTTCATGAGGATTCACCTCACTCATTAGAAATCTGAGTGAAATGGGAACTTGATTTCTATCACAACACAGAATTCCACCCTCCTGAACACAGAAAGCAGTCAAGGCATGGATTAATAGCAGACCCACCTGAGGCAGCTCCTTGTGAGCACAGTTTAATCCTCCAATTGGAATGATATTGGGCATCAAAGGCCTTGGATACTCTAACACAAATTCCAGCCTCAGAAGCCAAACAGAGCCCTTCCGTAAGAGATCCAGCACAGTCACCTCCCTCTGCAGGAACTCTGAAGCCAGCTTCGAGTAGGGCTCAAAGGCAAAATTACAGAGGAAAACATTTGGGATGTCAAAGAGCAGATTCTTCACCCGCTGGAAAAAGGTCATGCGGTCTGTAAGGTCTGTAAACACCCTGGGCACATAGGAAGGAGGACTGGGACAGAGCCTGGCATCTAAGTCTAACCCACATGGGATTCCTCGTAAGAAATACACAGAAGGAAGGGAAAGATGCTCAGCCAGGATCACCCCACAAGTTGCTACAGGGTCTGTGAGGATGGCATCAAACTTGCTCTCCTCACAAAGAGCAGATTCTTCACCCGCTGGAAAAAGGTCATGCGGTCTGTAAGGTCTGTAAACACCCTGGGCACATAGGAAGGAGGACTGGGACAGAGCCTGGCATCTAAGTCTAACCCACATGGGATTCCTCGTAAGAAATACACAGAAGGAAGGGAAAGATGCTCAGCCAGGATCACCCCACAAGTTGCTACAGGGTCTGTGAGGATGGCATCAAACTTGCTCTCCTCAAGGTACCTCATGAGCTCTTTGTTTTGCAGAAGCTGCTCACAGCTGCTGACCCAACAGTCAGTGAGGGTTTTCATACCTTTGTGCACTTTAAATAATCTCTTCAAAACCCAACCTTCTTCAAATGAACCATGAAAAAAGGCCTGGAATGCTTTATCCAAGTCTTCCTGAGTGAAGGGGACTGGGTACATTTTCATCACAAAGTTCTTTGATGGTTTGATGTGCATGGAGACTTCGGGTGCCACCACAACCACCTCGTGTCCCTTCTGTTGGAGCATGTCCAGCAATTCCCGCATGCTCAGCCAGTGGCTCCCATCTGCCGGCACCACCAGGAGCCTCCCAGCAGCAGCCAGACCCAGCAGGGAGAGGAGCAGAAGCACAGCTGGTGGAGAAGCACTGAGCCCCATGGCCATTCCTGCAGGGATCAGCTGAGTGCTTCCAGGGAAGGAAATCCCCAACAGCACTGGAGCACTGGTGCCTGCTCTGTGTGTTCAAGCGATCTGTGGCACAGCCCAACTGTGGATCCTTATTTAATGTGCTGGGTGGTGAATGTGTAATCCATGGAACAATAAAAGGTTGCCTACAACCATGGGATTCCTGCCAAGTCCACAGAATCACCAGATAACTCCCATCTCTCTCTATCAGAGGAACAATAAAGAGTGCCCCAGGAAGGAGGCAGGTGTGGCTCTGGGACTGCACTTTGGTTCCTTCCCTCTGGCTGGACCTTCTGCATGTTCAGGAGACGTGTCATGTGTAGGAGATGTGTCCCATGCACATCACCATTCAGACCTGCAGAGGCTTCTCCTTTCCCACAATCAAGGCCTGTCCCCTCTCTCTTGGAAAACTCTAGGAGACCCAGACCCCATGGCAGCTGTGGAATAGCTCTTAAAGATGATTTCCAGCCTGAGATGACAGGAGAGGTGGAAGGATGATGCCAGGTTTCTGAGCAGAGATTTACAAACTCTCTTTGAGGGCGACTTCCCACAGAACACTTCAGAGCCTAATTCTGGCCTTGGTTTTGTCACTGACAAAGCACCCATGGTGTCCAGCCATGGTGGAGTTGTGTGAATGCTCCTGTGGCCAATCCCATTGTCCATAAATTGTCACAGCTATCTCTGTACTTCAAGCTGGTGGAATTGCCACAAATTAGGCTTTGTGATCACGCCCTGCACCACACAACTCCTATGGAATATGAATGAAGAGAAAGCCAAGAACCAAAAGTACTCACCCAACTCTCTAGGCTCTCCCACAGAGAAGAACAGCAAGCTGTCCAGGAGGAACACTCACAGGACTCTTGCAGCATCCCAAGGAACCCAAGCATATGGCACATTGGAGCAGTTGGTATCATGCACAAGGCTACACCCAAACCCTCACTGCCAGTCAAGCTGTAATGGATGTATTAAATCAGACCTGCTCCAGGCATCAGGGCTGGAATTTGGAGCCAGGAAAGAGTTTCTAACAGGCTCTGGGACATCCCATTGGAGCTGGTCATTAAAGGAACCCTACACTTTGTCCTACTGTCCACAAATTCTGACAATCCCTTTGCTGGTGGCATCAACAGCCCATCACGGACCTTCACCAGAAGACCCTGGTGATTAACAATTGAGAGACAATTAAAAGCCAGAAGGAACAGCTGTCTACAAAGGACGTGGAAAGTCAGAAGTGAGAGAAAAACAGTTCCTTTACTGAGGACTCACCTCATTCACCCAAAAAAGAAACTCGATTCCTATCACAACACAGAATTCCACCCTCCTGAACACAGAAACCAATCATGGCATGAATTAAAACAGTGTGACCCACCTGAGGCAGCTCCTTGTGAGCACAGTTTAATCCTCCAATTGGAATGATATTGGGCATCAAGGGTCTTGGGTAGTCGAGCACAAAATCCAGCCTCAGGAGCCAAACAGAGCCCTTCCGTAAGAGATCCAGCACAGTCACCTCCCTCTGCAGGAAATCTGAAGCCAGTTTTGAGTAGGGTTCAATAGCTGTGGAATAGCTCTTAAAGATGATTTCCAGCCTGAGACAAGAGGAGAGGTGGAAGGATGATGCCAGGTTTCTGAGAAGAGATTTACAAGCTCTTGTATTAGTTTCACACAGTCTGACTTTTATTTGGGCCAGAGGAAGCCACAAAGGCTACTTCTGAGAGAGAAGCTCATTAAAACGTCCACTCCATCCAGAAGAGCCAATCCCTGAAGGCTCTGACAAATGACACATTGGCCAATTTAAGTAGTAACGCCTCTGAGAAGACATAATTAAGAATGAGAAAATGCATGAAAGTCCTCTTTCCTCCTCTCCTATGGGAAGCGCTGAGAGGACCACTGTGCTCCTTCCCAGACTGGCCCGGGCCGTGCCACGGGGTGGGGTCATCCCAGTGCTGTGAGTGGCCACACAGCTGATGCCATGCACTCAGGTCAGGCGCTGGGAGTGCTCATGCAGCCAGGGCTATGCCTGCACTATCCGCAGTGAACTGTGCTTTCTTTGTCACTTTCAGCTAGCCGTGCTGTGGGCAGAAGAGAAAGGAGTGGCAGCATTTTTGGCACCTGTGAAAGACAGTCTGAAGTTCCCTTCATTTGCCTCATGACCGTCACAAGGACAGAGACTCGGACCCTGAGGACCCTTATTGGAATTCTGGCCTGCCGGTGGTGGATGCATGCCAAGATCCTGAGGCCCCTGAGCAGAATTGTGGCCTGCCAAGTGATTGTTCGCAGGTGTGCCTATAGTGACTGTTTCTAGCAGGGCCTGTCAGGGGCAACATGCCCTATATGCTTACACCTGCTTCATGACAATAGCCCAGGAATTTTCCCACCTCTTGGCCAAATAAACTTGCTGGGGCAATTTTGGTCGTCCCTCCACAGAAAGTCCTTCATCTGCTCCACTACCACGTTGACGGATGAAGATTGAAGTACCCTCCCAAGGACTGAGACTGAGACCCCTATAATTCTGGTACAGGGGGTGCTGGCCTGACTGAAGGGGATGCCTACTAAGTGTTGCCTGCAGATGTGTTCACTGGACCTAGACTGGTTTCCCATAGAAACCAGTCCTGAAACAATGGGTCCCGCTCACTGCTGATATTGACTTACCATGCTGAGAACATGGACTGTCTGTACCTGTTTTCAATACCTTTTCCCCCTCAGTGATTTCAATAGATTTATTATTTATTGTATCTCTCCCCCTCAGTGATTTCAAGAACTGTTTCCCCCACCTCAGCAAAGGACTATAATAGATCCCTGAGTTAACCAGGATTTTGATATCTCTCCAACGTGACGATTCTCCCCATGTCTGCACCATCAAAGATTTCCTCTCTACATTTGGTAGGCATACTCTCTCTCTCTCTCTCTCTCTCTCTCTCTCTCTCTCTCTCTCTCTCTCTCTCTCTCTCTCTCTCTCTCTCTCTCTCTCTCTCTCTCTCTCTATCTTTTATCTCCTTTCTAAATCCCTCCATCGCATTTCCTGTGGGCACTCAATAAAAGGTGCATTTGTTTTGACTGACACTGCAATCCCCTCTCCATGTTGTTTTTGCTCTCTGAGATCAGTTAATGAACCAGCACAATTCCCCCGCTTGTCCGAGTGGATTGTGACAGCACCCTGCATGAGGAAAGGCGCTAAGCGAAGCAGACCGTGTGGCTCGCGTGGTGCTGGCGGCAACAATGTGACCAGCAGCGAGGGGCATGGCGAGCAACTCCCCCATGTGGGGCCCAGATGAGATCAACCTTTCTGTGCTGCGGGACTCTATAAAACTTTTCAACTGATAGAATGTGAGAAGAAATGGACATACGGACAGCAATTGTCTCGCGAGTCAGAGGAAAGGGAAGAGTGAAGATGTGAGGAGAACAACATGGCGACACTAAGGTCAGTGAAAAGGAGGGATGGATGGGGAGGAGGTGCTCCAGGCCTCGGAGCTGAGATTCTTCTGCATGCTGTGGTGAAGTCTAAAAAACAACAGTTTTCCTGTAATTTGTTAAGTGCATGGGGGAATTCAGAGTTCACCTGCAGCCCGTGTGTAACAGACATATTTTATGAAAAATCCGTTCGCCAGGATCTTTTCTCCTGAGAAGCTGGGAAGCTTCAGCTTCTCCATGTTTTGCTGCTTTGGAATGTGATTTGGAGAATTGTTTACCCAGCATGTGAAATTGTTTTTACTTGATGACCAATGACAGCCACCTGTGTCAAGGCTGTGAGCAGTCACAAGATCAAATTATAATTCCTTTTCTTTCCTTTCCTTTCCAGCCTTCTGATAGATCCGTTCTTTCTATTCCTTTTAGCATAGTTTTAGTATAGCAATATCATATCATATCATAATATAATAAATCAGCCTTCTGAAACATGGAGTCAAGATTCTCATCTCTTCCCACACCTTGGGACCCCTGCAAACATAACCATACTTGTGAGAAAGAGTGCTCACGCTGGAGCGTGTGGATGCTGCAAAGCTGTCATCTAGTGAGAAATTTGAACACAGAGAGAAGACCCTTGCTTCCAGAGATAGAAAAAGAAGACCCTTACTTCCAAACTAGAACAGCTCATCCTTAAAAGACTACATGCCATGAAGTAAAATAACCAATGCAAACAGTTATAGGAAGGCTGCTTTGCCTGTGGGAGGGACTCGTGTTGTAGTAGGTTGGGCATGTGTTTTGGTTCAGGGCAAATTTGGGAGATAACTTTTAAAGGGCTTTTTTATAAAAGCAGATTTAATTGGCTCATTTTTTAACTGGTTAGGGAGAAAATATTTTTTTGGAGAAAAAGTGGAAAGAAACTTATTTATTAAATAGTAGAATTTAAATAATATTAAACAATAAAATTTTTTGTTGTTTTAAAAAGAGATGGCAAATTTAGAATAGTTTTTTTCCAGGCTGCAGCTTGGCTTACTCAGTTTTTGATCAGTTTTTTTGGTGTTGGAATTGCCACGGCTCAGGCCTGGCCAGGTGGATTATAGGTGGAGCTGCTAGTGTTTTTCTGGGTGTTTAGTCTAGAGCAGGTTTGAACAGGTTTAAGAAAAAGAAAAACTACAGATGAGGGAACTTTTTGTTTTAGTTAGCTAAAACTAACTAAAAGCAAAAAGAAGGAGCTTTGTTTTGTTGTCTGTCTATTTACAGACAACATAGTTTAGGAGCAGGAGTGTGGAGGAGTGTCTGAAAACAAATTGTGTGCTTTTTTTTTTAATTCTCTGAAAGAGAGTCTTAAAGGTGTAAAACTTATTAATCAGTATAAACAGAACAAGATTATTGGGGATAAAAGCATCATATAGTCAACCTAGGACAGCGTGACTGCTACTTGTGGAAATAGAACCACGTTGGAAAAGTTCACAGAGAACTGTTCCAAGAAAAAGACCCCATGGCATAGCAGAAGATACTCCTCTCCCTAAGCAAACTGAAGAAAGATTTTTAGAAGTAACAGCTGACAAACTGACTAAAACACCCATGTTTTGTCTCCCTGCACTGTTGGTGGGAAGGAAAGAAAGGAGAGGGGTGCAGGGGAAGGCATTCTAAAGATTTATTTTAGTTCTCATTATCCTCTTTTAATACTGTTAATAAATTTTTCTTTATACCTTTTCAATTTTGAGCCTGTTCTGCCCTTAAAGTGTTTCTTCCCAGTCCTTACCTCAACTCATGAGCCCCTTTTGCCTTTCCTTTCCCCCTTCTCTGCTCCAATATAGTAGAAGAGAATGACTAAATGTTTTTTTGTGGGTGCCTAGCTTCTGGCCAGTGTCAAATTCTGACAACACTCTTTGAGGGAGACTTTCCACAGAAAAATTCAGGACATAATTAGGGTCAGAGAAGACAGAGAAGATGGAAGGATGATGCCAGGTTTCTGCAGGAAATGTGACCCACATCAAGCAGCACTTCCAGTGCCCCAGACCTGCCTCAAGGAATGCAAAGTTTGGCTTTGTGAGCTAGGAGGTTTGTGCAGAGACTTATCAGCACTTTTGAGGGGGACTTCCCACAGAACAGTTCAGAGCCTAATTCTGGCACTGTTTTTGTCACTGACAAAGCACCCATGGTGTCCACCAGTGGTGGAGTTGTGTGAATGCTCACGTGGCCAATCCCAGTGTGTACAGGGATGTCTGTCACATGTCACAGACACCCCCCACTTGGGGATGGGTGGAATAGCCACATATTGGACTTCATTATCCCAGCCCACATCACACAAATCCTAAGGAACAGGACTGAAGAGAAAGCCAGGGCACCAAAAGCACTCACCCAACTCACCAGGTTCTTCCCTGGAGCAGCAGAGGAGGCTCTCCAGGAGGACCACTGCACAGGGCTCTTGTCAGCATCCAAGGGAACCCAGTTTGGCATCATCACCAAGGCTGCACCCAAACCCAAACCATCAGTGCCAGTCAAGCCTTGCTGGATGTGTCAAATCAACCTGCTCCAGGCATCAGAGTTGGGCACTCTGCTGGTGGAATCAATGTCCCATCACAGACCTTCACCAGAAAACCCTGGTAATTCCCTTCAACAGAGCACTCTTTAAAAACCAGAAGGAACCACTGCCTACACACGATATGAAAGTCAGGAAGAGGGAGAGATAAATGATTCCTTTCAGCTCACTCAACCAAAACAGAAACTCGGTGCCTACTGCATAAAAAAATTCCACCCTCCTGAACACAGAGAGCAGTCAAGGCATGGATTAAAACAGAGTGTGACCCACCTGAGGCAGCTCCTTGTGAGCACAGTTTAATCCTCCAATTGGAATGATGTTGGGCATCAAAGGCCTTGGATACTCTAAAACAAAATCTGTCCTCAGGAGCCAAACTGAAGCCTGGCGTAAGAGATCCTGCACAGTTACGTCCTGCTGCAGGAACTCTGAAGCCAGTTTTGAGTAGGGTTCAAAGGCAAAATCACAGAGAAAAATACCTGGGATGTCATGAAGTAGATTCTTCACTCGCTGGAGAAAGGTCATGTGGTCTGTAAATTGTGTAAATCCCCTGGGGACATAGGAAGGAGGCTTGGGACACTGAGTGGCATCAAAATCTAATCCACACGGGATTCCTCGTAAGAAATACACGGCAGGAAGTGAAAGGTGCTTCGCCAGGATTCCCCCACACAGTAGGACAGGGTCTGTAAGGATGGCATCAAACTTGCTCTCCTCAAGGTACCTCATGAGCTCTTTGTTTTGCAGGAGATGTTCACAGCTGGTGATTCCAAAGTCAGTGATTCTTTTGACACCTTGGTACGCTTTAACAAATCTTTCCAGAAAAGATCCTTGTTCAAATGAAAAGTGAAAAAATGCCTGGAATTGTTTCTTCATTTCTTCCTGTGTGTAGGGGACCGAGTATGTTTTCATCACAAAGTTCTTTGATGGTTTGATGTGTAAAGCCACTTCAGGTGCCACCACGACCACCTCGTGTCCCCTCTGCCTCAAGATGTCCAGCACCTCCCGCATGCTCAGCCAGTGGCTCCCATCCACTGGTACCACCAGGAGCTTCCCAGCAGCAGCCAGACCCAGCAGGGAGAGGAGCAGAAGCACAGCTGGTGGAGAAGCACTGAGCCCCATGGCCATTCC